GGCAACATGTGTCTTCACTTCCAGGTTCCCATGCTCCTGTCTACTTCTATGAGTTCCAGCACCAACCAAGTTTCATCAAGCATGTCAGGCCATCCCATGTGAGGGCTGACCATGGTGATCATGTTGCCTTTGTCTTTGGCTCCCAGCTTTGTGGCATGAAAGGTGAGTCTTCCTTATTTTCCTTGAGCTGAATGGAGTTCCAGATGAGTTCTTGAGGGATTACAGAGCTCTCAGTCTAGCTGAGGAAACTGAGACTATGGGAGAGAACACGATCAAGTGTTCAACATTTCTGATCTGAAAAACATAAGACAAAAAACAAAAAACCAAAAACTCTACCAGGGTTAGAATAGGAACCTTCCTAGTCTACCTTGTGCAAGAAGTAATGAGAGCACACTGTGGTAGGAGTGATCCTGGGAGAATTCAAGTAGAGGCTTGGATGGATCCTAGATTCTGAGCACTGAGGGAAGAGTTTAAACCAGGCCTAGTATTCAGATTCGGGCTATGGTTGCTCTAGTAGAGCACGAACTGGCCCCTGCATGAGGTAGCTAGGGCTTGGACCCTTGTCTCCTTCTGTCTGCAGTTGACCTCACTGAGGAGGAGAAGCTGCTGAACAGGAGGATGATGAAGTACTGGGCCAACTTTGCAAGACATGGGTGAGTATATAACCTTCCCTCAAACTCCCTTTGTCTGGGTCTCCATCCAGGGCTCCCATGTGGGTGTGTCTCCTTAGCATGTGTAGGTCCTTAATTCTACCATAGTCTTCTCCAGCCTGGGGCACACATAGAGAGACACCTTCTAGCTTTAGTTACTGATCATCCCACAGAAACCTAGTGGGTGGCTCATTGTATTGTGGTACTGTTCTTTATATTTTCCCTCTGAGAGGGAGAGACAATACTAGACAGCTTACCTTATTTCACATGGATCATACACTAATGGGTGACACTTGTATTCTCTATCAGTAGCCAGTTTTTCTTTACCCTCTGACCCTTAGTGTACTCATTCACTGCTCTGACCCAAATCAAGGGACAAAGTCTTGGATGAGAGTGACCTTATCCTTCCCTATTGGTGGCCTATCCACAGGAACCCAAACAGTGTGGGTCTACCATACTGGCCCGAGTTGGCCCATGATGAGCAGTACATGCAGCTGGACATTCAGCCTGCTGTGGGCCAAGCCCTGAAGGCCAGAAAGCTGCAGTTCTGGACCGAGACTCTGCCCCAGAAGATCCAGGAGATAAAGGGGGCTCAGGTCAAGCATGCAGAGCTTTAGTGTCCTGTAACAATAAAGGTGTCTGGAATGAAGGTAGATGGGGTCATCTTGAGGTTACAAAGTCCATTGATTTATCTGTATTTGTTTCAACACTAGCATAAGCATTTCTAACCTCAGCATTTGCACTTTCAGTCAAGTATGACAAGTCCTCTGTGCCTTTCTCCTTATCCTTCTGGACACATTTTATTAGACTCAATAAATACATTCATAACCATATGGATGTGTGAGCCTG